TAATTGAAAAACTTTACATTTCTTAGGGTTTTACATTATAAAATGTTCAATCTCATGGCTTGATCATGATCATAATTACGAGGTTTTTCTATGAATGGAATTATGGAAGGAAAAAGTAAAGGTAAAGCGAAGAAATTTCTCAGTCACATATTTTACCTTTTTTTTTTCTTTCTTTCTTTTTTGGTTGCAATCCATCATGAACATTATTTCTATATAAAGACTTCAGTGTCACAAATGAATCGCATAGGAATTAGACTACATGCTTTCACATGAAAATGTTAAGAACGAAAATGCCAATTTTTCCACTCAGAATTACCACAGTTATTTTTTTTGTGAAGTTGGGGACATCTAATGCACAACTTAGTCCTACGTTTTATGCTAAGTCATGCCCCAACATGTCCAACATTGTACTCGGGGTAGTCAAGCAGGCTCAGGTGCTCAGCAAAATGATGCCCGAATTGGAGCCAAAATTTTACTTCTTCACTTTTATGACTGCTTTGTCAAAGTAAGTACCGCATGTCTATGTTGATTCGAACCTTTTTATGTTTTAGTCCAATAATAAAGGGACAAGTTGAGATTATGAAAGATTCTCATTTTGTTGCAGGGTTGTGATGGCTCGATCTTGCTAGACAATGACAGTGCAAATGGCGTAACGAGTGAAAAATATGCAGGCCCTAATGCGAATTCAGTTATGGGATTTGATGTGTTTGCCCACATCAAAACTGCACTGGAGAACGAATGTCCCAGTGTTGTTTCTTGTGCTGATATTTTTGCCATTGCATCTCAACTCCTGGTTTCTTTGGTACCGAATGTGATTTATGTCAACCTTTATAAATTCTAACATTAATGCTTATATATTAGCTTTAATTTTCAAGACCAACAAAACAAACATTAACGTTTGTTTCCACTTTTCAGGCTGGAGGTCCAACATGGGAAGTGCAGCTGGGAAGAAGAGACAACCGGACTGCAAACAGAAACGGGGCTGACAGCACCCTGCCATCCCCCTTTGAAACCCTTGATCAGATCACAGCCAAGTTTTCAGATGTTGGACTTGATTCTACTTATCTCGTTGCTTTATCAGGTATAACAGCCTGATGTGATGCAAAGTTTCAGGTTCAGAACTCCAAAAGTTTAGCTCTACTTAAAAATTTACAAATTTGTAACTTCAGCATTCTAAGCAGTCTATGACAGAGAAAATATTCTAAGAAATTGAATCAATCAGACACTGTATAAATATTCTTCAGTGTGCAATTGAGATTTTATTTTTTCTTCACAGGAGCACACACTATTGGAAGGGCTCAATGCGAATTCTTTACCCACGGGCTTTATAATTTCAGCAACGCTGGAAATCCAGATCCATCCCTGGACACAGCACACCTGGAAAAACTTCAGGATACTTGTCCTCAAGTTGGTAATGGACGAACATTAACAAATCTGGATCTACCAACGCCTGATGGTTTCTACAACAACTACTTCACAAATATTCAGAACAACCAGGGCCTTCTTCAGACAGATCAAGATTTGTTCTCCAGCAGTGGGGCTGATACTGTGGCCATTGTCAATAGGTTTGCTAACAGCCAGAGTGATTTCTTTGATAGCTTTGGTCAGTCCATGATAAAGATGGGAAATATTAGTCCTTTAACGGGAAAGGATGGAGAAATCAGAACCGACTGCAAGAGGGTTAACTGAACACTTGAAAACTTGGGTTAGTTAACAATTTTCCTTGTTCCAAATTCAAACAAAGAAAAAATTAATCTGAGAAAGTGAATTAAATAAAGGAAGCTAGATGGATAAGTTTTCTCTTAATTTGACTCAGATATATAGCAGATGTGTCAAACTATTCAACCCTTTGCTTATTGTTCTCCAATGCTCTGGTGACAAAACAGACAGAATCAGGCAAAAGCTTCATTTGAAGAATCAAGAAAACTAGGGACAAAAGTTTTTCAATTTGAGATCAAAATTCAAATTTGCCTTTGATTCATATTAACAGATAATAAAACCTGATATCGTTTCAAACAATGGATTCATGATAGATTTACATTCCACTAGAAACACAGCTAAATTGAGTGCATGAGGACAGAGAGTACAACTCCCCAGAACCAAAATAGAAAATCCCATCACCACCACCTTCTCCATGTTTACAGACAACTGCATTCAGCCCCTTTTTCTCTCTTTCCTTTCAGCAATGGTGCAATACCAATACCATCATTTTAATATTTTCAGTAATGATCATAACTATTTACTAGAGAATTCTTCGAGAGATAGACCAATCTAGAAACTAATCATTCAACTGATCAACAGAAGCATAAAAAACTTTTATTTTACCTATGGTCTTCTCTGTTGTTCTTGGTAGAGCTGATCTTGGTGTTTTTGGTTATGTGCAATAAGGAGTTTAGCATATATAAGTTCATTCCATGTATCAGGAACACCAGGAAGACACCAGTGGCTGCAATCCTGGAATTCCAGTGCCAATCTTTCTTCCTCAGTTAAATTCTGCTTCCTGTACATTGACGGGTGAGCATCCTTCCGGAAACCAGTCATTCTGGTAATATTCAGATAAAGCACCGATGTATTCATCCCATTGATTACTGATTCTAAAATTCTCATTTTTGATGAATACTTTTTTGAGTATATCTCATTCTCTGAAGGTTCAGTCTCACTGTGGCATTGACCTCCAGAATTCCATCTTCCACCCCTGTAAGCAAGCAGAATTACTTAAGATTCTCTCCTATTGTCAACGTTTTTTAACTTAAAGAGCCTTCAGTATTCCATTTACCTAAAGTGGGAAGCAGAATATCCCCTGAAGAAAACGAGGGTCTTCATAGAATCTATATTAGCATCTATCCATCTTGCCCATGTAGTCAAAGCTTTCCGAAATGCCACTTTGACATTCAATTGATCATAAATTATGCTACCCTCTTGATAGTAACCTTTCCTGCAAATTTCTTAAACTTTTATAATTTATCTACATAAAATTCTTTGGAAATAGACAGGCAGCATAAACCGTACCCTTTCAAAGTTTTCTCATGAGTCCACCAGTGCCCTGTGTTGAAGATGAGAATATCAGCACTTTTGTAGTTATCAGATGATTTCTCAATCAGATCAAGGTGAAGAGTTTCCTTCATCAATCCATTTTTCCAGACATTTCACCTTCTTGAACTAGAAATGGTGATCGAAAGTACTCCACTGAACAGTTGTAATCCTGTTAATCCATCCATCCATTATTAACAAACAATAAGCAAAACAAGGTGAAATATGGAAAGATTTTTCCTTGGCAAGGAAAAGAAGATTATATCAAAACTATGAAATCCAAATCAATGAGAAGAATTTGGAATATATACTTCAAACTTGAAAGAATAAGAGCCATCTGTTCGAAACTCATTTCTGCCAGAGGCTTCAAAAACTCTACTTTTGTCTCCCACTGAGCTATGAAGGATGCACACAAGAGACTCCCACATATTTCTGTTTAGAGAATCACCAACAAATACTACACGCTTTCCTCTCAACAATTCCAGCATATGCCTACCATTCAACCTGCATGGATCCATATGAGCCAGTTACACTAATAGCCTAACCAGAGTCTACATAAACCACACATAACAATCAGAGGTGACAATCTCATTCAAAAAAATGTCCAGAACGTGAAATTTTGACCAAAAAGAAAATCAATATGGAGATAGAGTAAACAACCATCAAAGTTTCTGCATACAACGTGCTCGTAAACAAAATTTCGACACTAGTCCATAGGTGTGAGTGGCAAACATTTTATTTTTGCTCGCAAAACTGATTAGCAACAAAATAATTACTCCTATAACAGTCAACACAATCATAAACCTAAACCCCAAACAAAATCTACTACCTCAGTAGCAATAGAAGTTTGTGATTAAATAGATTGGCATAATTTATTTACATATATATATATATATATGTATGTATTAATCAACAAACTGAGAAAGTTACCTTGGTATATTGCAATCTTTGGGTTGCCATCTATACTTCTCATAGCCTCTGTCAGGTCTACCATTAAGATAACAATTGAAAGGCTCATCAATATGAGGACAAGACCCTGGTGCATAAATTGGACAAGAATCATCTCTCACCCACTTCCCATCAAATATGTTACAATGGTTCATTAAATCTATATCCTTAAGATGTCCATTTCTATGCTTACTAAAAATGTCATCAACACTTCCAAATCCATCCATTTCATTTGATTCCAGTGTCACATTGCTAGACTCTCGCCCCTTACCTAAAACCCCTTCCCCTGTCACATTCATTTCCAAATCCAACACATCCTTTGATTCCTTTGCATCTTCTCCTTTTAAAGCAAATCGGTAATCACCAGCATTATCTGAGAAAGACTGAGAACCACCGGGATCTCTTGTTACATTACCATCCCAACTCTCATTCTTTGATGGGCTACTGGAAAATTGAATTACTAAACCTTTTGATGTGCCATTAGATTCTTGAGAGAAAGAAACAGTCGGAGTGAAGAGT